TGAGCCGGTGAGATTAGAACTGCTGAACTGCAGATAACAGTCAGCTGAAGTGGCCTGCAGTACTGCACCCTAACCACTGCGCCACCTCGGCTCCTGTATGGGTCCTGTCGTGTTGGATGAGGGCATCTTGCCCAATAAAACATTTCCTGCTGCTAGAACATTTATGTGGCTTTTCTCCCATATGAATCCTCAGGGGTTTGACCAGAACGTCTTTTCCACAAAAGCTCTTCCACATTTGGTGCATTTGTAGGACTTCTCTCCTGTGAGGGTCTTGTTATGTTTAACCAAATTTTGCATTGAAACCTTTGCTGCTTTTATAAGGCTTCTCTGCTGTATGCATCCCCTTGTTCTTCGTGAGATTTGTTTTCCAACTAAAACATCCCATTTTCTGAGCAGCTATAATAATTTTTTCTTGTGGGAATGCTCCCCTGTTGAATAATGGAGGGCATGCTATTAATTTTATAAAAGTGTAAGTATTTGTTCAGTTTATGCTTTACATCCAAATGTAGAGTATCTGGAAACACTGATGGCTGCACACCATCTCTGGCTCCTCTTAATTTTGATCTTTTTCCCACACTGAAAATTGACTTCATTTTAGTTTTGATCGCATTCTTCAGGCAGGAAAGTTTTGTTAGTTTTATTTCCTGAGTGCCTGTGTGACCCCATTGGATTTATGGCTTTCCTTAAAATCCCAGAAAACAAGAAAAATAATTTACTGACTCTTTTCATTGAAGTATTCCAAACATCTACTTCTTCTTCAGATCTTCCCACAAGATGCTGGCAATTCCCTGGGTTTCAAAAAGAGAGAACTATCTTGGCTGAAACACCCCACACGAATGTTCGCAATGATTGACATTCTGAATTCTCACCTACCTGGTTTCCCTGAAAATAAGCCCTCCACCGAAAATAAGCCTTCCTCGAAAATAGTGCAAAACAGCAGCAGCCATGAGGTGACCATGCTTGACGCCTCTTGCACCTCAAAAATAATAAGACCTCCCTGAAAATAAGGCCAAGCGCTTATTTCAGAGGTCAAAAGAAAATAAGACCCGGTCTTATTTTCAGGAAAACATGATAGGGAGTCGGCCACCCCATCATTCTCTTGCTTTATCTTCAGGGAAGCTTCACCTTCACAATCTCCAAGGCCTCTTCCTCTAATTTGGGAGATTTTAGCTTCGTATCCTCCAGGGTTTGGGGTGCCTGAAAAAACAAAAGCAAATTCAATTCAACTCAAAGTCCTGCAGAAAAGACCCACCAGGTATGCTTCCTATTCCCTCCAAGATGAATAACGCTGAAGCCAATTGGGGGAGATAGAACAAAAAGAAAAACTTCCCTACTTCATCAGAACCATGCTGGTTAGAAAAGTGGGCTTTATACAGTTCTAACCTGGATAAAACCAGGTCAGAAAGGTCTCAAAATGTCAATATCTATGGAGATTCGCAGTCGTCTAGGTCATGGTTGTCCCAAAGGTGCTTTTTCAAGCAGCAGTTGGACTTTCTTGTTATTCTTTGAAAGACGTTTAGCTTCTCATCCGAGAAACTTCTTCAGCTCTGAGCTGAAGAAGCTTCTTGGATGAGAAATAAAACATCTTCAAAGAAAAACAAGGAAGTCCAATTACCGCTTGAAAAAGCATCTTTGGGATCATTGTCAATGGTTTTCCTACTTTGGCTATCTGAATGTTTTAAAATGGATACAATACAATACAATGGCAGAGTTGGAAGGGACCTTGGAGGTCTTCTAGTCCAACCCCCTGCCTAGACAGGAAAACCTATACTGTTTCAGACAAATGGCTATCCAACATCTTCTTAAAGACTTCCAGNCAGTCCCCTAATCATCTTTGTTGCTCTTCTCTGCACTCTTTCTAGAGTCTCCACATCTTTTCTACATCGTGGCGACCAAAACTGAATGCAATATTTCAAGTGTGGCCTTACCAAGGCATTCTAAAGTGGTATTAACAAGAACAAACCCTTAAGTTTCATTTCAGAAACTTTAAAGCATATTAGGACTGCTAACTTTTTTTCACGGAAAACAGGGTGTAGTCAAAAAAGTCACAACCGTGCAATCTCATCCAATCATAGGAGGGATAAAATGTAAGGAGCAGGGAGAAGGGGAGGGATGGGTGTGGGCCTATAGCAATAGCAATTAGACTTATATACTGCCTCATGGTGCTTTTCAGCAGTCTCTGACCAGTTTACAATGTCAGCATATTTCTCCCAATATGGGGAAACTGGCTCCTCATTTTACCGACCTCAGAAGGATGGGAGGCTGAGTAAACCCTGAGCCCATCAGAATCGAACTCCAGACTGTGGACAGAGTTAGCCTATAATACTGCATGCTAAACAGTACATCACCAGAGCTCAAGGGCACTTTTAGGGGGAGAAAATCGCTTTTTGCCACCCAAAGATTCCCTACTGAATAAGTTTTGCTGTTAGGCTGCAGTTCCTCTCCCAAATCCTCTACAGAGGACAAATATATTCAGGAATGCACTACATACGTATTCAGGAAGGTTGTGCCTGATATTGGAGAGCAACATCTCTTATAGATCTCGATGCACTGATCTGTTCAGTCGAGTCCGTCTCGTCTTCCACTTACAACCGTTCATTTAGTGACTGTTCAGTTATAATGGCACTGAAAAAATGTGATTTACGATCATTTTTCACACTTATGAATGTTGCAGGGTCCCCTTAGCAACATGATTAAAATTCAGATGCTTGGCAACTGGTTCATATTTATGACGGTTGCAGTGTCCCAGGTTCAAGTGATCTGCTCTTGTGACCTTCTGACAAGCTAAGTCAACAGGGAAGCCAGATTCACTTAATAACAATGTTACTAACTGAACCACTGTAATGATTCACTTAACAAGAAATGGGGCAAAACTCACTTAACAAATGTCTCCCTCCCTTAGCAACATAAATTTTGGGCTCAATTGTGGTCATAGGTCGAGGACGACCTCTTACCAAAATTTCAGAAAAAGGTGTTTTCTAACCTGCCTGTGGCCCGAGAAATTTTGGTGTGAAACAAGTACTTTTTTATAACACTGTAATGTGTCGATATTTTTAAAATCTACCAACCTCCCTTGTGCTTCTTGCTGTTTCACTCCAGTGCTAGTATCATGATCATCCCTGGATATTTCCCACAATCTCTAAGACTGTGTGTTAGATCTGAACATCAATCCTGCCCTGATGCCCCTCCTGGGTGGATTTTCACGGGTTTATGAAACGTGAAAGAAATACAGAACTTTTTGCATACACGAATCATCCGTGTGGTTTCTTTTTGATATGAATCCACTCGTGGACCACCAAGTTGGATTTCTTAGTGATGCTTTCCCCCCAGTTTGAGCACTTATGGGATTTCTTACCTGGGTGGCATATAATATGCTTCCTAAGATGTGTGCCAGACACAAAGCTTTTCTAACACCTGACAATATGGAATCTCTCTGTATGGCCCACACATGGATCATGGGTTTTTTGATGTCTAACTAAATATCTGCCTGCAGTGTAACCACTGGCATGACTTCTCACCTGTGTGTCTTTTTGTCTTTTCAACTAGAAACTGGTTCAAAAGCTTTGCCCACACTTGGAGCACTTGGTAAGGTTTTACGCCCATGTGGATCTTCCCATGTTTCACCAGCAACATTCCCCCACTGAAGCTTTCCAAACACTTGTAGTTTCTCAAAAGGGCAGCTGATCCAGAACCTTGTCTCAAACTTGGGGATTCATTGTAGCTTCTCTCCTATATAGCAATAGCAATAGCAGTTAGACTTATATACCGCTTCATAGGGCTTTCAGCGGTTTACAGAGTCAGCATATCGCCCCCACAGTCTGGGTCCTCA